GATTATCGCCGTGGACGACAGGACGTCCATGTCGAGAGGAAAAAATAAGAAACATGTTGATTTTGTATTGTTTTTTGCAGGTTAGGATGGGACCACCCGGATGCGCCCGCTATCTGCCGGCCTGAGGGGGGAGTAGGAGTATATTCTAATAAGGAATAAGGATAGGAGTAGGAGGAGGAGGAGGAGGAGGAGGAGGAGGAGGAGGAGGAGGAGGAGGAGGAGGAGGAAGAGGAGGGGAGGAGGAGGAGGAGGAGGAGGAGGAGGAGGAGGAGGAGGAAAGATGAGGAGAAGGAGGAGGAAAAGGAGGAGGAGGAGGAGGAGGAGGAGGGCGCCCTCCGCGCGCGCTAGCTAGCCCAACGTGGGGGGAGGGGGAGGGGGAGGGGGAGGGGGGGGACAACCTAGGTGCGCTCGCGTCATATCTGACATCCTACCCCTCCCTCGCATCCCTTACCATGGCGTAGACCCCCTCTCTACTCGCAAAGTCGGATGTCGAGCAGGGCAATGATCCCGAAAGGGTACGCGATACATTGAAGAGCACGGCGTGGCATGGCGCAGACGAGCACCGCAAAGCGTAGTATCAACATAGCATTGCATTGCATGCCGTGGCGTGGCACGGGAAATGGCGCCAGCGCTGCAGCGGGAGCACGAGCCGAAACGAGCGGAAGCGCGGAAATGAGGCCAACGCTGCAGCGGGAGCACGACTCGGAACGAGCGGAAGCACAGAAATGAGGCCAGCGCTGCAGCGGGAACACGATTCGGAACGAGCGAAGCCCAAAAATGAGGGCGGCGCCTCAGCGAGAGCAACATTTTGGAAACAAAATACAGCAACATTTTGGAAACAAAATGCTCGAAAAAAAACCAAACTCCAGGGAAACCTGTGAGAGAACAAAAAAAACAGTACGCGGGGGGGAACGAGCACTTTCAAACCGTCATCAGGAGAAGAGGGAGAGCAGTACTCATATTGAATAACTGTGGAGGCGGAAAAGGAGGAGGAGGAGGAGGAGGAGGAGGAGGAGGAGGAGGAGGAGGAGGAGGAGGAGGAGGGAGGAGGAGGAGGAGGAGGAGGAGAGGAGGAGGAGGGGAGGAAGAGGGGGAAGGGGAGGAGGAGGAGGAGGAGGAGGGGAGGAGGAGGAGGAGGAGGACGAGGAGGAGGAGGAAGAGGGCGCCCCCCGCGCGCGGGGGTCCCGCGCGGGGGGAGGGGGGCGGGGGGGGGGGAGGAGGTAAAAGGTAAAGGCCCTTTGGGGGTCCATGGTCCCGAGTGCCCCCATCGGGGGCTTTGAAACACGGGTAGGGCCCCGAAGGAAACGCATGGATGCTAGCCCCCTTTTCTTTCTGGGGGGCAGCCTGGGGCGTCGGGGCCCCCTCTCCGTGGAGAGTGGTCCCCGTGCCCCTCCAGAAGGAGACCCCGCTCTCGGTAGCATGGACGAGCGTTTAGAAATAGCGGGCAGTGGGCGCTGCCCCCGCTGCTCGGGAGCGGGGCGACCCCTGCTGAGGACCACGGCGCTCCCCAACTCTCCACGACTCACTCCCCCCCCCCCCTCCTCGTCCTGCAGGCGGGCACATTATAACGAGGGCGAGGCCGAGTGCCTTCTAACCCTCCTGCTGGGTGGCTCTGGCAGGCGCAGCTGCTGGGGCGACGCTGGCACAGTGCTCCTGGGCGACCGGGCTTCATTCACACTTCGACTCCGTCAGTGATCTTCGTGCTGCTGCTCGGGCCGATGCCGACGCCCCATCCTGCAGCGCGTGCTGCCTCCTGGTCGTACGTTATGATGTCGCTGCTTCTGGGGCGCTGCATCGGTTGCTGCTGCTGCTGCGCCGTCTCCTGCATCGGCGGCTGCTGCTGCGGCTTCACGATCTTGGCGCCATGCATCGTCCACCCCGTGACCACTGGGCTTGGGCTACCTGCACGGTGGGCGCTGGGGCTGGATGCTGATGATGGGCTCGGCCGCTGCACGCCCTTCTCCGCCCAGGGTGGGCTCTCCCTCCTTCACGACCTCGTCGTAGCGCCAGCCCTTGTCGCTGTGCGTCCACTTACTGTAGAAGCCCTCCAGCTCGTCGCACTGGTACCTCGTGTAGTCCAACGAGGAGGAGGAGGACGAGGACGAGGAGGAGGAGGAGGAGGAGGAGGGTACTGAGGGTACTGATGATCCGGGGTGGGTCCACACCCCCTGGCACACAGGCCGAAATCTGGAGGCTAACCTATGCTATCCTCCTCATCCCAATCCGCCGAAACGTCCTCCCGACGGCGCTGGTCACTCTCCCAAGCAACAAGCGCCTCGGGGGTAGCGAAACCGTGCAAGTTCGCAATCAGTTGGGGTGACAAGGCCGGAAGCTCAGCGATCGCTGAGGTCGGGGGAGGATCACCCTCGGCCGCTACTGGTGCCTCTACAGCTTCGCCGTTAGGACCCGCCAGCCAGCACCACCCCCAACAGGCTCAAAGCCAAGCATAGGACCCCAAACAGCCGTCGTCCCGTCTGTCGGGCCAAAAGGGGTGCCCACAGTGGCCTTACCCAGGTTATGGCCTGGGAACAAACCGCGCTTTAAACGGGACCTCTGGGTCTTATACCCCGAATGGGAGGATCCTTTGCAGTTAGATTGAAGGCCTCCCCGCGCACTCTGATGCGCCGAAGCCCCACAGCACTTGCAACAAATTATGTCATCAAGAGCTGCACCGTCCTCTGCCTGGACCGTGGCCTGGACGATGGAATGGCCTCTAAGCACCCAGGGAACTTCAGAAACCTGGAGGAAATCCCTGGGGGCAGGATGAGGCGGAGGCGGAGGGGGAGGAAGAGCAGAACTCATAGCCCCCATGGCCCTGGGACCCCGCTCAAAAGGCCTCACGCCCGCCTCCTGGCAAGCCTCTTGGAGGGCCTGCGAAAACTCATCCTCGAATTCAATATCCGCTGTACCGGCAATGCCGTCAGAATCAGGTTGCCCCAGGGACCCGAAGGCAGCCTGGGCACGCCCATGCCACAAAGCACAGTCTCTGACAATTCGCTTACAACCTGAAACAAACAAGGGCCAGCGCTCAGGAATTGCCCAGAGCTTTGCCCCCTGCTTGGCATATTTGTCTGCCATCCAGCTGCCTCGAATTAGCCAGGTATCATGATCAGTTATTGCATTCGCCTCGGACTGGTGGGCTTTCACTTTACAGACTGACGCTCGGCGAGCTATGCCGGCCCACCATTCAGTCGAGTTGTGGCGCCGAGGGTTATCATAAGATAAAGCTGTGCCCGCATTTTGCGCGCACTCAACAGTGCCTGAGCAGTCGCAGAAGACCTCGAGGGGGTCTTCGGCATTCCATTCAGAGAAGCGGCTAAGCATGCAGAAGGCGTAGTCCTCCCTGTCCCTTGCAACCTGGGCCGAGGAGGAGGAGGAGGAGGAAGAGGAGGAGGGGGAGGGGGAGGGGGAGGAGGAGGGGGGGGGAGGGGGGCCCCGCGCGGCCCCCTCGAGCCCAGAGAGCCAACGTCTTGAGAAAAAACTCAAGACGCAGGTTTTTCCTATCTTTGGGCCTCGAAGGGCCCTCGAAGGGCCCCGGGGCCGTGAAAAAACGACTCCGGATGAGAAGCCGGCCCTTGGGAATGGGTCGAGACCTCGGGGGGGCCCGTGTTGAAACAAGCACGACGTCGGCCCTCTGGGACCCATGGGATGCCTGGCTGGCACCGTGGCGGGCCTTGCCGCCGGCAGCTGGAGAAACCCAGTCGTCGGAAATCTGGGGCTGCCTCATGGCGAGGGGCGGACGACGACGGCAACCTCAGGACCCGCTTCCCTCAGGAACCGTGCGCTGCATGGCGGGTCGTGGGCTGGCCTCCGGGACATCCCTCTCGCGCCTCCGGCGGCCACTCGGGCGCGGCGGGGCGCAGTTGCTGGAGAGCACCCGGAGGCTGCAGAGCCTCCCTGAGCCGACGAGGCCGCCCGAACACCTCCGACGGCGGCGGCGAGGCGCGGCTGCTGGGGGAGAACCTCCCCCGAGATCCGACGACGCGGACAACCTACCACGGAGTGAAAAGTCACCACCGGAGCCCCGGGCCCCGTCCTGCTGCGCCGTTCCTCGAGCCGCATCGGTCCGTGCAGGTCCCACATGGGGCCCGGAGCTGGGCGGCCCCGCCCGGCGTGACAGACACCCCAACGACATCCAGCCGCCGCAACTTGTTCGATGCCTGGGCCCCGGACGTCTGGACCACTTCGCCTCGAGCAGGGGCCGACCGTCCCGGCATTCCTATAGGCCTACCACGGCATGTTCTTAGAGCCCAAAGATGTTCGGATCACAAGAGCAGGGTTCTCAGACCATAGGCCCGATGTGTTCAAACAAGACAGACCCAGCCAGGAATGTTCTAAGAACATTTCGTGCAGACCACAAAATGGTTCTTAGAACATTCTTCGGCGGGCCTATAGGCGAGCCAGAACACTTCGCCACTGTTTGATCCCCAGGACCGGTTTTTCGTCCTGAGCAGTTTTTTGACGCTCCCGAGGCCCTGCGATGGCCGCCAGAGGCCGAGAACGGCCAATAAAAACTCCAGCTCCACTTTTTGTGGGAGTGTCGGTTTTGGGGACAATCAAGACCTGCAACCCCCGGATCTCAGGGGAGAACCTCTGGCCACCGAACGAAGCCGTCGGACCTTGGCATGGGGGAAACGGGTGCTGAGGGAAACGGGTCCTGAACCCTGATGCCTTCTCCCAGGTCGAGCTCTTCGCCCCGAGTCGTTTCCTGACGGTCCCAGGGCCCGTGGAGGGCCCCGAACACTGGAGCACGGCGAAAATTCTCAGGACCCGCTTCCCTCGGGACCCGCTCCCCCCATGGCCAACGCTGGAAAGCTCTTCGGAGAGCCGGAGGAGGAGGAGGGAGGAGGAGGAGGAGGAGGAGGAGGAGGAGGAGGAGGAGGAAACGGAGGGAGGAGGAGGAGGAGGAGGAGGAGGAGGAGGAGGAGGAGAAGGAGGAGGAGGAGGGCCCGAGAACGGCGAAAAACCTCAGGACCCGCCTCCCTCCCGTGGCGGCGAAG